AAAATTTAATCGCACAAACATATGAGGGTCACAGAAAAGTTCATTTTTCGATCAAACTAATCGATATAGAATGTTCTGAAACGTCTAAAAAACATAAAACTTTTGTATTGAATTTTTGGAAATTTACTTGGAAATTTTCATGTCAGGTCCGGGGAGCCCCGGACCAAGTGACTAAAACCCAGACCCATGAATTTCGGGTCACACTCACAGAAAAGTTCATTTCCCCGGACCTGACATGAAAATTTTCCAAGTAAATTTCCAAAAATTCTATACAAATGTTTTATGTTTTCTGGACGTTTCAGAACATTCTCTATTGATTAGTTCGATCGAAAAACGAACTTTTCTTTGGTCCCAATACATGGGTCCGGAGTCTGCCGGACCTGAAATGAAATTTTTCCAAGTAAATTTCCAAAAATTCGATAAAAAAGTTTTATGTTTTCTGGACGTTTCAGAACATTATCTATCGATTAGTTTGTTCGAAAAATGAACTTTTCTGTGACCCTTATATGTTGGTGCGACGAAATTTTTCTAAGTAAATATGAAATTTTTAAATGTAAAATTAAAAATTGTCTCAACGTTTCAGATGATTTGCAGCCTTTTATTTTTGTGAACCTGCTCCGCCGGAACAGTCCGGGTCCGGGTTTTAGTCATTCGGTCCGGGTCCGGGTTTTAGTCAGTACCCTCCGCGACTTCCGATTAATGTTTTGTTCGTCAGTCTCCTGGGTTATCGGCTTATCGCCCTCCTGCCTCTGCGGGGCGGGGTCAGAGGGGACACGGGCTACAGGGCTAAGCAGCAAGGCGATGCTCCACCGCCACGGCGCCACCTGTGATGTGCTTGTCGTTGCCTGAGAATCGGTAGTAACTAGTAAGCTTGATGCTACAAAACTTTATCGTTCGTATTCCTTTCTTTGAAAAGAAAAACAGGTTAGCTAAATTTTTAAAGGGCCAGGCCCTTTAAAATTTTAACCTGTTTTTCTAGGGCCTAATGGCTAATAATAATGGATTAATCATTTAATGGCCTCAGGAGTTAGACCCAAATCATGAGGATGATGAGGCTATAAAAAATTGCAATGAAGCCTTCATTATGCTTCATATTTTTCTTGTGTGCTAATTTTATATGCCATTAGCTAGACTGTATGATAATTCGAGTTAATTATGTCAAACAGGCAGAGCTGGCATTATAGTGGCATAATAATGAAGATAATTTAACTTTAAGTTAGGTTAGCCTTAGCCTGCCCTTAGGTATTGGAGCCTAGCTCGAGCGAGCTGGCCACTGGGCACTGGCCTAGTCTGGAAAAGTCCTATTTTTGTCTGAAATATTGCAGCTCTAATATCATATAATTTCAGTAGTATGAAATCTCGCGGCTCGAATGTCATAAATTTTTGTTTGATTAAAAAATCGCGGTTTGCACTTCGCAAACATGTCATTTCATAAAATTTTCAACTTCCGCAATCCACATTGCTTTACCGTTCCCGCCAAAAATATCTTGCAGAAAAACATAAACAGCGTAATGTAAACAAATCAACGAAACGTTTTGTTGAAGATCGCACATAGTTGCAGTCATGTCAAAGTGGTCAGACTGCATTAACGTGTGCTGAACTTACAATAGAGACAAATTTTATTGTTGCCGTTTGACTGTTTTAGGGTAAAATTAGAGATTTGGGGTAACACGTGCATGGACTTTGTAAATGAATTCGCACCTTGAAAATGGCTTTTCATGGTCGAGATATGGAACTCACGGCTTGGTGAAATGGAATCACGGCTCATAGAAATGGAATCACGGCTGGCAAATCAATAGAACCATGGCTCAAAAAATTCAGTCGCGGCTCGCCAAGTAGATATATTCCATGCCTGGCACTGGCCAAGAGGAAGAGGCAATAGGCCTCAGGCCTGAGCTGTATGATTTTAGTAATTTAGTAGTAGCAAGTCTGAATTTTTAAATCTTGCACTGAAAGGAATTCAGGAAGGGCTTTAGCCCTACAGGTTTTAAAGAACTTCCTCTGGCATGGGCGCATGGCCCATAGTGGCAACTGGCAAACCAGAGCTTTTTTCAGTTTTTTGGAATCAGTTCATTTTTAATTTTCCCAAAACTCAAGATTTAAACCAATTTCTCTAGTATGATAATGCTGGTATCCATGATACTTAACTGGTCTACTAATAGGACTCAAAAATGAACTTGAGGGAGTCTAAAAAACTCTCTGCTTTGTCACTATGGGCCATGGCCTCTAGCCTCTAGGCTCTAGGGCCTAGGCCTTATTAAGGCCTAGGTTCTATGCTGTGTAGTAACAGTAGTATGACATATGTCTCAGTATGTGTGATCATTACAAGAAAAAATCATACATTTTAAGTAATTAGCAGCAGATTTGCTTATTTTTTCATTTTTTCATCAGATTTCATTATGCAGATATTTTTAATAAATATTGAGACTGAGTTTAATGCACAGTCATTCACTTTGTTCAGCATTTAAATAAGGTACAATTCATTTTATGTAAACATAATATTGCAGTACCATGTAGCAAAAATAGCAAACTAGTATACTACTAGTAGTAGTAGACTAGTAGCTACTAGCTAGCTACTAGCTACTAGCTCTAAATATCATGGCAGCTTGGCTGGCATCACAATCCATTATTCATGTGATCATTGGCAATGCATGGAAACTGGAAAGTAAATGTATTACACAATACACAACATGGTGTTAACTGTTAAGCTTAAACAGTCAAAGCAGAGACTTCCATAGACTATAGTCACTATACTGAGTATAGACTCTTATTGACTTGCTCATAAAATGCTCAAAATCATTTTTGAGTCTGATAAGTTATAACTTATCAGACTCAAAATGAGGGAATTATATGATAAGTTATAACTGAGGGAATTATAGTAAATGAGGGAAATTATAGGAGTAAATGAGGGAAGTAAGTAAGTATGATAAGTAAATGAGGGAATTATAGTAAATGAGGGAAATTAAAGGAGTAAATGAGGGAAAAATCTCCAATTTGTCACTATGGGGCCCATGCCCAGTGTGGAATTTTAACCAGTACAGATAGCCTATTGGAAAGCAGGACCTGAAAGCTTGGAAAGGATTGGGAACTTATCACTTTCAGTCCATTATATACACATCCTATCCCTTTCCAGCTGTGATTGGTTGATGGAATTGTAAAGAGCTGTGTTTGGTTGTGCCCAAAAGCCATGCCCCCAAATATGGTATATGTACTACAGTACTGGTTAAATTAATTCTTAAACTAACTTGACTTACGGTAATACTTAACTTTAGCCTTTACTGCCTGATTTTCTGGGTCATAAATCCCAAATTTCACTTCTCTGTTTTTTAGTCTTATTTTAAAGCTGACATTCTGACCTATCCAACAGTACAAAATCATCTCTGTACGTTGATTTATGCCTTGACGACAGTTTGCGAAAGGGTTAGAGGTGGGGAAGTTCCTTCACATTTAAGATTGGCAAAAATTACTGGCCTAGCACATAAATAGACGGTTTGAAGACTCTGATCTTTAGTTACCTGGCTGCTGTCATGTGGAATGGTGCTCATGCAGTTGTTCCCACCATCCTTGACTGAACTTCAGCTCCAGTAACGTCTAGTCTTGTATCCATGCCACCTTGAATGCCTATTTCGAGGCGCTCAGGACTCTGTCGCGCTCTACTGAACATTCACACTTATTGTCACTGCAAACCCATCTCCTCCTAGAGTTTTTAAGCTATAGCAATGAGTGATATACCGTTTGATTTGCAAATAAAAGATCTAGAGATTGGTTGTAGTTTTTTTTCAATTTCATTATAGTTTTGAAAACGTTTTGAAAAGGGGAGGGGAATTCAAAAGGGTGGGGGGGGTTGAAAGCAAAATTTTTCAAAAAATGCCCACCCCACCCACAAAAATTAGAATTTCAAAAAACAGCAAGGACCAATTGATAGATATGGTCCTTATGCATCGAATGATATGCGTCTTGATGTTGTAGCTTGAAAATCCTAGGAGGAGATAGATTTCTACAGTACTCCATTTTTGGCTGTTTTCTAAAAATTTCATATTTTTTCATTTTTTTACTACTAATTTCATTCTACTTCTAGTAGAATGAATTTTACCTTTTGTATAATTTATTCTTTTTTCTCATAGCTGTAGTTCATAGAAAACTTCTCACCAAAAATTTAGTCAATACAAAATTGTAATAGAGAATACATGTGATGACTTTTCATGTTTTACGTGGAAATCATCATTTCAAGTGATGAATTTCACTTGTAACAAAGCATGGAAATATGGGAAACAACCAAATCAGCAATCAATAATTCAAGGTACTTCTGTCCACAATGAACACTTCCTTAAAACAGATCGCCTTGGTTAAAAACAGGGGTGGGCAGCATCGGCTTCAAGCTGCGCCAGCAGCTGTGGCAGCTTGCTCTGTTGGGAATTTAAAATTTGAAAGCAAAAGGCCTGGACAAAGTGTGATTTCAAGTCCTTAGGACCCTAATTCAGCCTAAAAATATTACATTTCTGCATGGATTCCATTTTCTTTATCTTATTTTAACACATTGACTACGATTGCTTCATCTTGTACTATTATTTCATTTTTTGTACTTTTTTTAAGCAGGGTTGCCAGACGGTCATTTTTTCCGGATAAATTCCGTGATTTAGTTTTTCTCAATTGCATTGGCCGGCTAAAATTCATGATAGGGGTACTTCCTAATTAAATTTTAAATACTGCAAAAAGAAAATAAATGGAATTTTTATAGCGGAACCTACAAATAAACTAGTATACATTGAATTATCGGCCTTTTTTGGCCGATTTTAGGCAACCTGAATTATGTACCTACCACTACGTCCCGGAGAAATACATTTCATGGTACGCATATGTACCAATACGTAGTCAACATGTTAAGTCACTCAAATCTGAAATTTTTGAAAAAATCTGGAAATGCTCAATATAGGTAGGTTATTTAAATTAATTTAAAATATATGTATACAGTATCATACTTAATGATAGCAATATTTCTGTCTGTTTGATTACATGGTATACCTATGTCAAGTGTGCATTTAAAGAACAATTTGAGATGGCATGGTAATGAAATTTTGTTAATTTATATACCTATAGTGCTGTGGAACATAATGTAATGCAGTGAAAGTATGTTACCTTCAAGTTAGCCACCAAATATGGTGAAAATGTTGATCAAGCAACTAAGTGGTTTAGCTGTCATCTTACAAGCTCTGTTGTTCATCCAAGTGTATTGCACCACTCATTGGGTGGTCACCCAGGATGGAAAAATCCAAGCCCAGGTGAGTTTTTTTATTTTTTCATTATCCTAATCATATTCCTAATACCGTCAAACGGGGTTTTTGTTAATAACTTCTTACCATGAAACATTTCAGAAACAAGTTTAGGCTCATTTTATAGCTTTTTGAGAGGGCTATCCAATGGCATCTTCAAAAAAAATTCCATATGCTATTCGTAAGGTGCCAGATGTAAAATAAAACCGTCCCGATTTACCCCTCAAAGCGGGGGTAATCCTGGACACTTGCAATGAAAGTTAATTTTAAAACGTTTGAAGCGTGCAGAGTGTACTCATCCATTACTAACAGTACTTTGAAGTCCTCCTCTTTCATTGTAGATGATGTAGATGTAAAATAAATGACATTTTCTGTTATTTTTACTTGTTTTTCCTTTATTAATATTTTATTACCATATTCATTAATTACCGTATTATTAATGTGATATTACTGTATTCATGGACATGCCATTGAGCATTGACAACGACCTTGTCCACTGCAAGCTTCATATCAGCAGCCATGTGGCATTTCTTCTGTATCTATAAGCTTACAGGATGGTTTGTAATTTTTCACAATTTTAATTGAGTCAAGTGATTTCACTATAACAAAAAAGATCATGAAAAACATACCTGAAACAGAAAATAATGTTTTAGTAACAACCATCATATGTTTTGGAGAAATAAATCATAGTTTAGGTCAATTACTTTTCATTCTATGATGCCCAGTGCACAATTCTATATATAGCATTCTATGTACAATTTTGTGACAACCGTTGATGCACTAATTTTTGACAAGTCAATTTTTTTTGCTGAGCAAGGTAAATGTAATCTAAATTATTTGTTGGCAATCAACTTTTTTGTTAACTGGAACCTTTGCTAACTGAGGTTCTACTGTAAATGCATTTTTAAGGGTGTCCCTAATTACCCCGAGGGGGGGGTGTCCCAAGTAGCCCTGCCATGCGGAAATGGCTGCCATTTTTTTTGGAATGAGATAGGCCAATTCCGTCAATTATGTTTTCAAGCCGACACCTGGGTGCAACTTTTATGTAAGTAAAATTTTTTAATGCGGCAAATATTTTTTTTGCTCCAGACCTTAGCAGAGGTACTTTTCGAAAATTGCACTTTTTACACTTTTTTTTTAGAGATAGTAAATGTTTGATTTCTTGACTAGCTTTATACATAATAGATTACTAGTAAAAATGTTGAAAATTACGCCACTATTTTTAGTTTTGCAATATTTTGATTAGTTTAGCTGCTACAACATTTCTACGAAATTTCAGAGGCGCGTTCCGATTTACCCCACCCATCCCTTTTTACCCCATTTGATGGTACTATATATTATGATATTACACTGTATTTAATGTGCATTAGATATAGGTACCTACCTATATTTAATATTGTTGCTAAGAAAAAATAAAATATCTCTCTGTGTAAGTCTCTGTGAAAATTAAATTAATTTGAATTAAGAAGAAAATATTCAAGTCAAAATTATAATATATAATATAGGTATTCAAGTCAAAAATATAATATAATACACACACATATACAGGTTTGATTAAAAACCTGAGAATAATTTTATTAACAATTTTTTTTCAAGCAGCCCAACAAAATTTCTTGCTGGTATTTGTAGATCAAAAACCAGTTTACCAAATGACATTTTACTGGAATACATTTTGATTTTGAGCGACATTTTGATTTTCAGCGACATTTTGATTTTCAGCGACATTTTGATTTTCAGCGACATTTTGATTTTCAGCGACATTTTGATTTTGAGCATTGTCATAGGTAACTCTTCACCTACTAGATAATGAATATTAAATAGGTACCGGTATACAAAACATCATATTCCAGTAAAATGTCGTTTGGTAAATTTCTTTTTGATCTATCTACAATTACCAGCAATAAATTTTTTCAGCTTATTAAAAATAAAAAATAAAAATTTTGTTCAGCTTATTGAAGGAAAATTGTTAATAAAAAGTATTCTGTGGTCTTTAATCAAACCAGCATAAATGAAGAATTTCTGCCTAACTACACTAATATCCATACATACATACATTATACATTGCAAAAAAGTTCATATGTATATTACTGTTATGATTTTCAACTATTTATCCATTAAAGGAAATGGATCACTTTTTCACATAGCAAATTTCTGTCGACATGTTTAAAAATTAGCATAATAATTGCCAAATTAGTAATCTAGCACAAGTTTTACCAAATTCAAATGTTCTGTAAGATGAATTTCTATTTAAAAAGTATTTACATATATATATAGATATAGTTGTATAATTACATATATGTATAGTATATGTATTTTAACTGGAGACCTTCTCTAAGTTCTATCATATAGAGTATAGACTAATAAAGAAAGTAAGCTTCTAAATAATGTTTTTTCGTTTGCTGCCAATAAAAAAGAATCAGTTATATATTTTACAATAAAATGTTTCATGATCATTTTCTTCCTCGTTTAATTGCTCTGTGATGACAGATGGACTCACTATTTCAACTGCGTCGTCCCTATGATTTTCTGGCGCTGGCACAGCAGGAGCAGCGCGCCGTGCAAGTGGAGGAGTTGAAACAGCAGCTGCTGCGCCACAAGGCACACATAGACATGCATGAAGATAAGGTTTGTTCCAGCATCATTGCAGCATTCCTAATATCTTCTTAGCTGTAGTCATTGTTACTGCCACAGCCTTGGTTGCAGACATACTATAGGTACCGGTACTACTGCATAAACTCTCAAGCTAATCCTCCCATTTTAATCCTGAGCAGTGTCAGCCTGGTCTCCAATGTATTATTGATCCCTCCATTCATGAAATAAATGACAAAAATTCAAAATAATTAAAAAAATATGCCCAAATATTTAAAATTAGGAATGTGTGGAGGAAAGGAATTTAAGTGGTGCTTGAGCTTCACTTTTTTTTACTAAATTGATGAATTGCTTGATGTAAAAGAATTTAGTGCAAAGTGGAGTAGCTGAGACTTCTAATGTTGTTCTAAATGTTTGTTTTGCTGCTACATCCTGCCAATGATATAGGTATAATAGATCAATTTAATTATATTAGGTACTTAGATTATTTGATATTTTCATATTCCCCTCTCTTGTTTGTCTAAACTTTTGCTTATAATCCTTACACTGTTTCTACTACTTTTTAGCGCATTCTCTCATTTATTGAAAAAATGCTATAGGTATTGTGCTTATCATGCCTGTCTGTCTGTCAGTCTGTCCGTCTGTCTGACCATTCGTCTGTCTGTGACTTCATGTTTTTTTACGAGAAGATGCGCTCTCTGTCATTCACTGCAGGGAGTAGGTACGGTACTTACTGAGTTATATTTATTTTTACTGTATTGCTAATATTTATTTTTACTGTATTGCTAATATTTATTTTTACTGTATTGCTAATATTTGCTTGAATGTTCAATCAAAAAATTTAATGTAGGAAAATATTCATGCAAATTTACTCATCACCAATTTTTCTTGCATAAAAATTTTTCTGTCAGTTATTTAACTAAAACTCTTATTGTTGGATTTACATTTATACAAATGAAATTACTTGGTAATATTATCTTCACAGAAATCTTCACAGTCCTTTTTAAAAATAAGTTTGAAGGAAACTTATTTCTTCAAGAATATCCTGATTTTCAATGCAAGATTTCCAATGATTTTCAATGCAATTGACTATTCATTCATCAGTAATTAAACACACATCTATAACACTGAGCTGAATGTATAAAACCTAGTGGATAATACTGCCATTGATGCTTGATGTCTGAGAAGTGACGAGGTTTGTGAAGGAAAAAGTTCAAGCCTGTACTCTGCTCTAACGTCCCTCTTATCCACTGGCATCTAGTTACTCTTCTAATTTCAAATTTATTAAACCTTTTCCATGCAAAAATCTATGTAGGTACCGTATATATAATTTCATTTCTTATTTACTATTTAATAATTTCATCCAAAAATTTCAATTCAATTTGCTGAATATAATTACATTTTTCAAAAATACCCTGGCTTATTTTCTTAATTGCATTCTTAGTTAAGAATCAAATGTTAAATTTTTATTATATTTCCATTATATGGTTCAGATCTGATTCTTGAAGTGAAATGATTGCAAAGATTGAAATGATGATTATTATAGAAGTACTCGGGTTGTACCTTCAAATCATTAGCTTATATTATTGTTCTTATGATCTCTTCTCAGCCATCACAGGTGTCAGGTACCAGTTATTAAAGCTATTTTAAAATCTTTATAGCTGTATATAATTGTTTTAAAATGTAACAAATGAATTTTTTCTATCAGGACATGCACTTGGAAGAACGCATATACCGAACAGACTCGGACTGTCTGCTGGCTGGCAAACCATTGACTGAGTTTGACCTCGTGGCCAGCACCAGCGTGCCTCTCCAAGACTATCCTGAGCTCAAGTCAGTCCTTGTATTCTCTCTAATAATTCTGAGTACAATTTTATCTGCAAATTGATGTTTGAAAACCTACATTTATTTCCCCTTAGAAATCAGAAATTATTTTCTTTAAGATACAATATTGATTTACATGATAATTGTTGCATGAACCCTCAGCCACAAAATTACATGTGCTTCTTTGATTCATTGTCTAAAGCTCATCAAGGTAGTATTCTAGAATAGAATAGAAGTGTCGGCACTGAAGAAATAGGCCCATGGCCTGTTGCCAATTCTTGAATTCTATGTCTGTGCTCTGCAATGTTGTTGTACGTTCCCTGGGGCATTATTCTTGGGTGCCCCAGCTCCAGAATTCTCCAATACTTGTCTTATTTTCTCCAAGACAAATTTTTCTTTTTGGCCCACTCTTATCTGCCTCTGGATCTCTGCTTTAGGGTTAATTGGGTGTGGAGACTCTTTTACTAGTGGTTTATACCAAGAAGGATGAATCCAAGAATGATGTGTTCTTTCATCAGTGTTTCATCCAAACTGAGAGTGGATCCAAAGAAAAATATTTTAGTACAATGCACTTCACCAAAGAATAGTCTTCCTGAGGAAGATATTATCTCTCTTAACTCTATTTCAATCAAAAACATGATGTGCTTTTGGTGCAAAATTATTTTTTTTATCTTCTGTCAACTTTCATTAACTAAATGAGATTTTATTATTCATAATGTTCAGGTAAGCATTGCTGAAATGTTGCAATGAACCCGTCATGAGGCTGAGTTATGATTTGTTCCATAGTTATTCTGTACACTTTGAAGGATTAAAAAATTATGTAAATCTAACGCTATCTATGGGTTCATCTTCATTGTTACTCACATGACTTGAACGTAATGATTGAACTGGTATCTTGAGTTTTCCTGTTTCAATAGAGTTTCAGCAGCATCTATTTAAAACAATCTTGAGCAATGCATGTAAGAAGAAAAATTTCAGCATTTATTTGAATTTTATTTTTAAAATTGTTAGGAAATTGGATTTTTTTTAAGGAAAGATATTCCAATTTTTTACAAATGATACCTAGTTAATATATCAAGCTCAGGCTATATTCTAAGTACAAACATCTTCTGACAGAATCAATGAGCACTTGGTGCCTGCTGCTGACGAGAGCGACGAGCTGCTGGAGCCTGACTGTGTGGCAGCCTTTGACATGCCGTCATTCAGCATGGCGTCTTTTGATCATCTTCTTGTAAGTCAGAACTTGTCTACACAACGGTATCTTCCAAGTTTATGTGTAGGAATTTTCATGCGTACATATAGTTCCAGCCAATGGTCGAATTTAGTTTTTGTTTAGTTGATTAGAATGGTTTTTGCAACTCTTCTCTATGAGAAAATGTGAGCTAAAGCAACAAATAATTTGATAATTGTCTAGTGGTAATCTAATAAATATAATAGATATGATAATACTACTTGGGTTTGTTTAGTCAATTTTATTTTTAACTCAAGTTTTACTCTATAATTGGCAAGTGTAAGGTAAATAAATCAATTGGTCAAATTCTAAACTGCTGACAGGACTAGAAAACAAGCAATAATAAAAGATGAAACCATCGGCAATTGTAAGATCACTATGAGGGGCTTCTTAATCTTCAGACTGTCCCCTTAACCCTGATAATTCGTCCACCTTCAACCACTCCCTTATTAGAGGATTGCTGTGGGCCGTGGGGTGCGAAGAATTACTTGGTCTGCATATTCACTCAGTACCTAGTATTTACATGGCAGAATTAGCTTGTTTATACACATGCGATCAATGTCCAGAGAATTCGCTGACTTAAATTGTCAGAGAGTCAAACAAGTAAGTATTCAGATGACGATGGTAGATCAAAAGGCATGTTTCAGGAAGAAAGTTTCAGTTTATTAACTGCATTTTGAAGCAACAAACATTTCTTTTCAAGTTACAAGTAGCATTAAATAGGATCTTAAGATCCTGGTTTGTTTAGCAGTGATATGTTGAAATGTGTCTTTAAATGCATCGCTTTATAAAATCTAAATTTGTTGGTGGGTTGAATATATATATATATATATATATATATATATATATATATATATATATATATATATATATATATATATATATATATATATACATTGATATGCCTTTCATATATTAGAAAAATTTATAGGAATTTAAGAAAAAATGTGTACATAGTTTCTCTTATGAGTTAAATATTACTAACTAAGAAAGTTGAATATTCATCATGATTTTTATTGCGTTTGCAGGGAATTCAAGATCGACATAACCTGAGCAGCGACCCTGAGCTCAGCGTGACCATGATGGGTGTGCGGCCTGATGATGACACGGCCCATGGTGAACACCTCTTCTATCAAGGTCTGCTACACTACCATGTGTCTGTACAATAGTTATTGTGCTAATGTACTTAATGACCATATTCTGTGTGTGACATTGTACCTACTACTTCTTAGCTTACAGCTCATGATTGTGATAATTTTTTCCTTTTATTACTGTTTTCTTTTAACCGAAGTCTCTATTTTATGCCTATCCAGCCAATAGATGCAGTGTACCTCGATTTTGCCAAGGCATGTAACAGTGTCCCACATGAGCGGCTGTTGCGGAAATTGCAGTCTTTGGAAATTGAGAACAATGTACTCAAATTGATCAGAGATTTTCTAGTAGGGAGACGACAACGTGTCAGTATTAACGGAACCGTGTCAGACTGGGCTTCAGTGCACAGTGGCGTGCCACAAGGAAGCGTTCTCGGGCCCGTCTTATTCGTTGCGTTTATAAACGATCTGCCAGAAGCTGTGTCTAGCGCTTGCTCGATGTATGCTGACGACACAAAAGTTTATAATACAGTGAAGAATACGTTGCAAAAAGTACAGTTGCAAGGTGATCTTGACAGGCTGGTTGACTGGGCTGATAAGTGGCAGCTGCATTTTAACGCTGACAAATGTAAAGTTATCCACCTTGGCAAGAATAATGAACAGCAAGATTACAGTATGAGAAGACACGGTTGCAACGACAGAGTGATGATGTCGAAGTCGACAACGGGAAAGGATTTAGGAGTTAATATCGACAATGAGTTGAAATTTTCTAAGCATATTGAAGGTCGAGTTAATAAAGCCAATAAACCACTTGGACTGATCAGACACTCTTTCGAATTCCTTGATGCAGAAGCGATGAAGCAGTTGTTTGTTGCTGTCGTGCGCCCGAACCTAGAGTTTTGAAACGTCGTGTGGTCACCGAAACTTGAAAAATACAAAAATTTAATAGTGTTTAATAGTGTTCAAAGACGTGCAACAAAGATAATTCCTTGCTTGAAAGGCAAGTCCTATGAGGAAAGATTGAAGATTATGAAGCTTCCAAGCCTCAGTTATCGACGTCTGCGTGGGGACCTCATTGAAGTATACAAGTATACTCATGGCTTATACAAGGTCCCAGAAGGATTACTAGAATTTGAAACTAGAACCAACACCAGAGGCCACGGCTATAAACTAATAAAACTACGTTGTAACACATCCATGCGATAACATTTCTTCTCGCTTCGATTCACCGACATGTGGAACAGCCTCCCTGATAGCATCGTTGACTCTCCGAGTATGAACATCTTCAAAAACAGACTAGACGAAGCTATGCAGGAGCATATGTTCAGTCTTAAAATGCCTAGCAATTTACGGACTAGGCAATAAGTCCAGCAGCTATCTCAATCAATCGTCAGCTATGGAAAGATCGGGTTCCAAAGGCTGGATCTCTTGTGAATCAAGTCACGAAAAGTTTAAGAATCGGCAACAGGCCATGGGCCTATTTCTTCAGTGCCGACACTTCTATTCTATTCTACAACCTATTGACGTGAGCCCTCATTGTCTCACTGACACCATCAGATGACGACGCGACCTCCTCGACGGATGACGACGACGGTGAAGGAGAGGATGAGGACGACGTGAGCGCGTGGGGCGACCGCGTGGCGCGCACGCTCACGTCAGGCGGAGGGCGCGCGTGGCTGACGCACGTGCTGGCCGCGCAGTTCTGGCGCGCCCGCGGACACGCGCCTTCTGCAGCAGAGTGCGCCAGACGCGCGCTCTACCTCGTGCCCAGGTACGTGATCTACCTCGTGCTCAGGTACGTGAGACGCGCGCTCTACCTCGTGCCCAGGTACGTGATCTAGGTACCTCGTGCCCAGGTAAGTGAGACTCGCGCTCTACCTCGTGCCCAGGTACGTGCGCTCTACCTCGTGCCCAAGAGCCGTACTATCAGAACTCGCCAAAATAGGCATGGCCTCATAAGTACAGGTGCTGACCTGGTACCCGTAGCTGCCAATTTCTGTCTATGTTTTGGTTTCTTTAACTTTAAAAGCCATCAGGTTTGGCTGACGGAGTTACGAAATCGTAATGACGGTGTTACAAAATCGTACCTTAAGCGCAAGGGGCGTGATCTACCTACGTATTTTGTATTATTATGTAGGTATCACTGTATCAACACAGCAGCGGCTTATGGGCAAATGATAGCATGTGTTTGAATGTGTGTTTGTGTTGCAGAGCGTACCGGCACATCCCGCTGGTGCAGCTTGGCAACATACTGCACCGCAGCAAGCTGGCGCATGATGCTGCAGTGGTGCTGCACTCAGCACTTGACCACCAAAGTACGCTGTACTCTGCACACCTCACCCTGGGACACGTCTACGCCACCATGGCATTGTATAATGTGTAAGCGTCTCTCCCTTCTGCTAGTCTTGCCCGTTAGTCTGCTGACCGATGATCAATATTCTTACATAGTGCTCCCTGGAAATATTCATAATTTTTCGTCGAAATGTCAAGCATACTTCTTGAACAGCCTGGCATTATATATACCTACTACCTACTAGAGCTCTCTAAGATACTCCTCGAACTGTCTAGCATGTTTCTTGAACCTCCTAAAATTCTCCATGGTAGGGCCATCATTCTACCTTTTATCTTAATTGTGTACTTTTGATCCTCTTCAGTGTGATAACTAAGGTTTAATAACAAATATTTACTTAAGTGTGTTTATGATGTCAGGTCTGCAGTGTGCTACAGCAATGCTGCATTACTTCGGCCATCGTCAGCACTGCCCCGTAAGCTGAAGCACGCCGTGCTGTGCCACGCACACCTCGAAGAAGCCCTCCAGCAGCAGCATCTGTGAGATCAGCACCAATCTTTATTACGACTCTAATTTTAATTATAATTTTTTTATGTCACAGCTTTGTGTAAACACGAATATCATAACATTAGCCAAATTATTGCCAGAACATTCAACGTCTTACAATTATTTGTATCGTTGATCTATTTTATGGCTTGTCATTAAGTATATAAGTTAAAGAATTCAGATAAAAATACAATGGATCAATGCAAACAGTATCAACTTTGAATTAAAACTATTGTGATATTCATGATTACATTCTTGTCTTGTTGATAAGTAATTATGTGTAGGTAACCTGCTAAATTCTGTGCTTGTGGCAGGTCCCTGCAGCGGACGTTGTCAGAGCTGCAGCAGTACCAGCAGAGCCACGAGGAGTGGCTGGCGCTGCAGCAGAAGCTGCTGCTCGAGCAGGCCACGCCTGAGATGAAACTTGAGAGCAGACTTGAGTACGAGGAGCAGAAGATCAGGGAAAGTTCCGACGGCCGGGGTGAGTACGAGGAGCAGAAGATCAGGGAGAGTTCCGACGGCCGGGGTGAGTACGAGCAGCAGAAGATCAGGGAGAGTTCCGACGGCCGGGGTGAGTACGAGGAGCAGAAGATCAGGGAGAGTTCCGACGGCCGGGGTGAGTACGAG